AGCAACGAAGGTGCAAAATGCCTCCCGTCGGCAAACTGCGCTTACTCTGACAGCCATTTCTTCCAGCATATGACGATAAACTGCACACTCACCACTGAGGCTGGTCCTTACCCTCTGTGAGATGAACCGGTCCGGTGCTGCAGTGCCACGCCACATTTTCCCCTCAAAAGTGCACGGGAACGGGGATGTAAGGTAGTGGTACCAGTGCCGTCTTCTTACTCCGCGTCCCAAAGGTGCGGCAGTTGCGTCGGCACCAAGGTCCTCAGACGAAAAATGTGCTCAGTGGTAGAGAACAGCCACAAGAAGTGAGAGAGCGCAGACAAATAGCGCGTCTAGCTATGGCTAGGCGTATAGCTGGCTGTGCTGTAGCGCGGGAGGGATTATGGAGACAGCACCCGGGTATCACCATTCTCCACCCCCGTTCTCGTGCTCAGTTGACCGGAGAAGCTTACAAGCTACAGCTGCGGATTCTCACCACACATGGCAGAAACCAGGATCCATGGAGGTAAGTGTATGGTTTGTCTTCAAAAGTGCACCTAAAAAACAGAACGTCCGTTATCAGACGGAGCTGCAAGGTGCGGCTTTTTCGCGTCTTTTTTGACTCGCAATCTCCAGGTTCTCGAAATGAAGGACTAGTGTAGCGTTGTACATGCGGTTGGTATCATCGCAATCAGCCGGTTCGATTTCCAGAGGAATGGTCTGGCCCCCACCTGCGGTCCTGCCACCACTGGTTAATTGCTTCCAAAACTAGCCACTAGCCGATCACCATTGTTAGAGCAAAGGCAGCTGGAAGGCGGGCCCATCACGCCCTCGCCACGCTGCCTCCGACTAATTGCGATTTTACAACTGGAGACGGTCTTTAGAACCGCGCGATGTCTCGTATGCGGCAATCTGAAAACACCAAAGGCATGCAATTGAGCGGGCGCTTGCGATAAACTCACTGCATTGTTGACTTAGATTGTGTTCGCTTCAGTTCTCAGCCATGCTCTTTACTCTGGTAGGACCTGGATTGTCATGACCGTGAGGTTTTGTTTTATTTGCATAACTAGAGTGATTACATAGCAAATGTGGTGCAGAGAAACATGCAGAGATTTTGCTCGCGAGTCAGTTTAGCTCCCCTGCTGATCCCCAATCATTTGACTTCACGATCCTTCCTGGACAGCATACTCTCCTGTTGAACAAATACGGAATGTTCGCGATAACACGGCAAGATTGCGCCGATTGTAGCCACGCGGTATTTGCAAGTGTCGCGCGCGACGCCGCGTGGTTCTACAGTCACATACCATGTTACAACCTATAGTGGGCCATGATGGTCGCTTCTCCGTTGATTAACACCAGTAAGGAGATAAGTGTTTGGAAAACATGTGAAATATAGTACAAGACTTTCTCACCAACCTAATGTTGGGTTGTCCGGAAGGTAATTGCTGGTTTCGTATGCTTTGAATAGAACAGTTGTTTTATAAGTGAGTGTCACACTCTCTTTAAGCTATATATTTTTCTGAAACGACCCAGATTCTAACGTAATTGAAATGTTTTTAAAAGAAAAAATTTTTTTAATTTTCTTTTTAAACAAAAAAAAAAATAAAAAACTGTCAAATCAGCAAGTATTAAAATGTGTTTGCTTACAGTCGAAGCGCAGTTCGGCGACCGGTGGGGGGGGCATTTTTAACTTTTGCTGCTTCACTGCTTCCGGTTTAAAGACTCATCATCTCTTGTGAATCTGAGGCGAGCTCTTTCGGCTACCATGGTAGAACCTATTAATTCTTGTAAGCCTCACAGGCGAAAAAATGGCTCTCTAGAAGGGACCGATGGGATGTGGCAAAAGTGCAAAATGCCCCTCCTCCGACGTTGTCGAACTGCCCCAGGAGAAAGCTCTGCCAACTTCTCCAGAGAAATGGCAGAGGGTGGAACTTTACTGGTTCGAAAAAGATATCCTTATTGGGCAAGCAAAATGGAAAATAATATATCATCTGGCATCATATCTCACTATCCAATGAACCAGTTTGCTTCCTTAGAAATACTTCTGGCCAACCTACCCTTTTTTCCGGCCAACCCAATACATATCACAGTTAGATTTGAACAGCGCCGAGTATAAAGCGTTAGAATAGCGTACGAGTATACCTTCGAACATTTTCATAGTTTTCTTGTAAGTAGGACGGAACCGGTGTTGCCGGTATTTCAGGAGAACCTAAAACAGGTGACATTTAAGAATGGACAAGACTCAATCACTGTTCAACAGGGTCGAATTACTGGAGCGGATTTTGGCCACACATCCCATAGCAATAAATTTCTGTCAGAGTTTTGAAGGATAAATAGTACCTTTGTTTGGTTTATTACACAAGCTACAGTGGTATATACTTACTGTGGTCTATATCTCGTCCGAAGCTGTCAGTTTCCTCAACTTCTTGAGCTGGTGACGATCGATAGACTGTTTCCACAGAATTTTCTATCTAAAACTGACAACAACATGAAAACGTCAACGCGATGAATTGACGAGCTATTTTGAGGTAAAAAATACTTACAGCAGAAGCGCCATGTCTGTCTATTGGCAAAATCCCATTTTTTGTGAAATAGGTTGCAATTTGTCGTGGAATTTGATAGAGTGACTTTTCCGAGAGCGACATCTTCGACTCATCTGCTGACCCGTCACATTCAAGAAGCACTCGCGTCATGTTCACATACTACAACGAAAAGATAAAGTTTAGTAAGGAGATCAGATTCATTTCATTACCGATAACATTTTGGAGAGGAATAAAGAGAGGACGGTCGTTTAGCGGCAAGAAGGCACTTACCACAATCGCTGTCCGGGGTTCAACTTCCGCACTGGCTAGTGTCCAGGCCACATACGCCTTCCTCCCTACGGGATCGCTGGCTCAGGATCAGACCTATTGAGAGGATTAAACACTGACATGAACATCGACGGGTCCTAAAGTCAGTAGGCCAAGTTGCATTGAAAAGATCACTAACTATCCCATATGAAGTGGAACGCATGCAGCATCCCAGATGGTTAGTCAAGCTCAGGAGAAAGGCAAGAGCCTTGTCCTTTTTTTGAAGCATTCCGGAAAACTAGCGCTCGATGAATAGGCCAGAGGTTCTTTCGCCCAACCGCACATAGAACGGCATATTGGGAATTGTGACAGTTACGACACTCTTCTCTTTCGCTCGCAGCTCTCGCCAAATAGGGGGGGGGGGGTAAGCCACTCTTTCTGAACGCCCTACAATGCATACGTGACATGTTCGCTACAATACGCTCGCGTGAAATGAAGGGGCGTGTCGACGCGGATACATTTGCGAACTCTCGTTTTCCCCTGCATTGTTGATGGGAACAAGCGAAAAGACTGTATCATACTGCTCGTAGCAGTCGTCTAAACCAACTGTTTGTTGCTTATCCGCCTCAACAACTGTAAAAAATACTTAACATTGTGCATAACCCTTCCCGCAGGACGAGCCTCTTCATCCGCAGCGAGCCAGTCTAAGGTGAATAGCAGTCATCGTGGATTAGTCGTCGTTGGAACCACTCCCCATCACTCATTTTGCGCAGATTCCGGATCACACAGAACCCGAAGTTGCCGGTCGCCAAGGGAACATAGTTGTGGACCGTCCAAGACGAAGTTGCTAGAGGAGATATAGGCATGGGCGAAAGGTACCGTGACCACTGAGTAAACTAAAGCCCGGTTTGTGAAAGTTAGGCAGTTAGCTGTTCATCGACAAGATGATTTGCTTTTTGAACAATGCATCCCCTAGCTCACCAAACCCTCCTGGGATTCTCCAAATCTGCCTGGAACTGTTCGCACCCCACCAGGGAAAACACAGGCTATCCCCTGCCCTCTTAGGCTGGCGTCTTTTACTTTGCGGGCAGCGTAGCGTAGGCTTCCAGCGTTACGCTCAGCGGCAGTGGCCGAGGAGAGAGCGTGATCGATCTTAGCTTCACTCAGCGTCACCGAAGCGGCAGCGCTGCGTACGCTAAGGCGTGCCGGAGCGTCTCCAGCAAGCGTTTTTCACCAGCGTTTTGCTGGCGTTTGCAGCGGCAGGGGAGTAGAGACTATGTGGCCGTAAGAGACGCGCAGTCGTTGTGTATTGTAGAGACTATGTGGCCGTCAGAGACGCGGAGTCGATGAGTATAGTAGAGACTATGTGGCCGTCAGAGACGCGGAATCGATGTTTGTAGAGACTGAGGGCGAGTGAGAGACGCGCAATCGGTGTTTTGTACCCTCCAGCTCTCCCATAGTCTCCACTCCCCCGCTGCCGCTGCAAACGCTAGCAAAACGCTGGTGAAACGCTGGAGAAACGCTGGCGTACGCTAGCGTACGCCAGCGTGCCGCTGGTGACGCTGGTGAAGCTAGATCGATATGCATCCTCTCTTCGGCACTGCCGCTGGCGTACGCTGCGCTACGCTACGCTGCCGCAAAGTATAAACGCAGCCTTACCAAACATCAAACATAACAATTATGTGAACTTTTTCTTACAGAATACTCACGTGCAAATTGTCGCGATCCGTTTTCCGTCCTTGAAAGATCAGTCGTTTACCACCTTCACCAAGTCGTTCTATTTCGTCTAGGTTTCGATCACCAATGCCTGAAGTGGTTCCAGAATTTATTCAAAGCTGGAGATCAAAAGTTGGATGTGAGTCTTCCTGGTGCTTCCTTCGAAAATTCAGCTACCTGTGAATATTACTGATATGGGTGTCTTGCTGGAGAAGATTGCAGCTTGGACCGTCTCTTTGATGTCATCAATGGCTCCTCGGGTAATGATATTCAAAATATGGTACTGTGGTCGCGTTTGCTCTGATCGAGCTGCCTGGAGTTGAGCAGTCCTGGAAAAGCTTTCTTTCCAAGATCGACTGTGACATTCGAACGCGACCGTTGGTGGGCTTTCTTACTTGGCAACATGGTAAATCACATGGGAGAACTGTGCACTAGTGCACGGTTGTGCCTGCATATAAGTGCTTCGGAATGCTGTCACCACCCCGTCAACGCCAGTACAAGTTGGATCAGTTTCGAGATTCTGTAACGAGATGGTTGAGCCGGATGCTATCTCAAGAAAGTAGGTGCAGCCTTGTTTGCAGCGATGGTGGGGCGTCTTAGTGAGGCTGGGTTCGGCTCGGCGTCAGTCAGTTTTCCACCAGTTGTTGAAGCGGGCAATTGACAGGCATTGTGGAAGCAGTCTGGGCTTTGCGCCAAACCCAGCTCCTCATACGCCCCATTATCCGCAGTACAAGACGTCGATTTCAAAGTCGCATCAGTTAACCAACCAGACAAAACTCGTGGCGACTCTCGATATA